GTGCTTGTGATGCGTTCAGTAGAGACAGTTCTGAAAAGATCAACGACAATTATCACAAATCAAGAAAATATGATAAATAGGGACAGAGCGAAGAGCCAGAGATGTTTGGTCTAGAGAGAAAACCACAAAGCAATGATAAAGATCTTCATGTATATAGCTACAAAGAGGAAATAAATTAATCATTCTTCACCTCCACATGGCTAGAGAACAATATGCTAAACTACAATGGAGATTTAGGTTAGCCGTTAGGAAAAGCTTTCCATCACAAACAGTGTTGGAGGAAGCTGCCAGGAAGGTAATGAAAAACTGGTTTAGACACACACCTGTCAGGCAGGACTGATGCATAATTGAACTAGCTTCAGATCAGAAGATTCTGTGAGGTCCCATCTTTTATAATTACTGTATTTACCATTAAGACTAAGTCCTTTTGCACAAGCCCTTTGTTTGTCATTGGAGTCACAGAAAGAGACTCACAGTGTGTGCTGGCAAATAGAAAAGAAGTTTTTTAGACACATCTGAATTAGAGAGATCTCATGGCAATCACAGAAGTAATTTGACTGGAAGGAACCGCCAGAGGTCTCTATCAAAACTTCTTCCTCAGAGCAGGGTTAACATTAAAGTTAGATCAGGTTGCTCAGGGCTTTGTCCACCTGAGGTTTGAAAATGTTCGAGGATAGAGACTCCACGGTCCTTCTAGCAACCTGCCCCCAACCCTGACGAGGAAAAATACTTTCTCATGTCCCATCACAATTCCCTTTATTACAACTTGTAACATTGCCTCTCCTTTCACCTTGCAATTCCGAGAAGAGTCTGGCTCTGTATTCTCTGTAAGCTCCCTTTAGATTGTAGAAGACTGCTACTAGATCCCTTCTCAGCTTCTTCTCCAGGCTGAATAGGCCCAGTTCCCATAGTTTCTCACAGGTTCCTACAACACCATCTATCCAGCCTCTCCCTTCTCCAGTCCTCCTGCAAAGGAAGCACACCCGCCTGAAAAGTGCTTGCAAAAAGCCCCAGGGAAGAGAGCAATATCTCTTTACTCAGATAAAGTTACAAGACAACAACATATTCCTCAATAACTTTGCTCCCCTGCTGCATTGCCTCCGATATCTTGCAAGACAAGCTGAAAAGAAATAAAGTCCTACCTACAAATGTCAACAGCTACCTATTAACAAGAGAAAAATGCAAAAGAAAGGAAGGTAGCTCCAAACAAAGCTAAAATGGAAAACCCACCCACCTTCTTGGTAGTTTATGGAGGGGGATTGATGGCTCTTGTAGAGGAGGGAGATTTAATTTCCAGTGAATTCATCAAGGAGATCTAATTCCCAGTGCTCATTTTTACATAATCTACAAGTCTATGGAAACACGTCATTCACCAGGACCCTTTGCTGACCAAAGACATAAGACAGCTGGACAAACTGTTCTTGGTGATCTGGTTTAAGAAATTACAGTCCCAGAAACCAAACCCCAATAGATGGTACGTTTCTGTATACCAAATTCTGATGTTTTATCTGACTACATACTTATTCAAGTTTACAAAACATTCTTGAATTTGAAAGCCTTTTATTCTACTAGGGTATTTAAAACAGGCAAACAGTGAATAAGGTGAGCAATACCTTTTAATTTCAAATCAAAGCAAAAAATAACCAAACACAAAGTTCTGTAAAGGCAACAATGACTCGTGAAAGAAAGGTGGAACTCCCCTTAACATGTGCAAGGCTGCATAGCAAGGCAAATCAGTTATTAACCAGAGGGTGTTTAAAGCCTCTAAAAGTGATTGGCCAGATCCTATCTCAGCTGTTTCAGAAACTGTAGCAAGGGTGCCTAAGGCTACAGTTTCACAACATCTTAGACTGAATCAAGACTTGACTGCTACCATAGAGAATCAGTCCTCCTTCCCTCTCAGCATGGCTACATACTCCTGCTGGGTTATCCTCAAAGAGCATGATGGACTTGAACCAAGGCAGAACACGATGTGCAGGGGAGAATCATCTCCAGCATGCACATCTCATCTATATTGAAGATAGGAACACCTCCTATCTTCTTCACTTTCTGTAGGTTAGGTGAGATCTGCAGTAAACCACCAATGTTTTCAATTGGGCTCAGAAAAATTTCATCGATTGAGGGCTAGACTCAGAAATTGACTGATCTGATGTGATGCTCAGGATGCAAAGGTAGGTGCCTTGTTTCAAGAACTGTGAAAGAAGTAGCCTGCTAGAGCTTTAACACCGTAGAAAAGCAATCAGGTTCCAACTAGGTTGGTAAGCTAGACTGTCTTGGCAAAGGATATGACAAGTGTTAGAGCTAGGGGCTTGTACAAGGAAAGAAAGGGGACTGTGCAGCTGTGCTTGGCGGCAGAGAAGGGAGAGTTCCTGTCCTTTGATGACAAGGAGTTAGATCAGTTCAGCTGTAACATGTAATTTCATCCTCAGTTACCAAAACGCTGAGCAGATATGAAAAAAAAGCTATATCTAGGGAAAAAAGTAAGCAGATAGTTCAGTGAAAGCCACTGGTTTAAAGCAGGATCTTTATTACTAAATATTACAAATGTCTTAAAAAAATCATCAGGTTCACAAATGTCAGCACTTCAATAAAAATCCCACAATAATTTCAGACTTGCTGATTGAGTTTCAAGGCATAGTTTACACAAAACTTTTGAGCAGAGCAGGGACAGGTCACTTCCTTTTTAAAAGCAGTATCTGTTTCTATTGCAGAGACGGGTAGTTTGAGAAAATGCTTAAGGTTGCCCCAGCCATACTTCAGCGTTTAGAGAAAGCTCAACACTTCCCCCATCAGCACTGAGCTGGTCTGAAGCCAAGATGAACCTGGCATAAAGCAGAAAACCTGACTTTTAACTGGATACGGCCAAAGTGTTTCCTCTCAGGAGAAAAAAAAGTTTGAAATAGAACCCAGCAACAAGATTGTTCTTCGAATTAGTAGTATACAGGCATTTTGATTCAACCCTGCCACAAAAAACTGCCCATGCAGCTCGTGGGCTCTAAAGTTTTATTAGAAGTGGGTTTGGTTAATTTTCAATCCCCAAAGGAAAAAAAAAGAAGTGCTGTCAGTGCTGTTTTAAAAGCTCAATTTCAGGACAAGCACACTTATGACATTCCATATGTGTCATCTCAGGTTAGTATTTAACTGTGTTATATTCTTCTAGGATAAGCATAGTTCCAACTAGCAGTCTACAGGCCACACATAAGACATTCCCATGCATCTTTGCCTCGCACAAGCTGGAGAGCAACTTCCTGGACAGAACATTCTCCCTTAATAGCCAGATAACTCCTCTTCCACCCAGGCAAGAGCTTAGAGCCTGGGAGGAGCAGATAGGGTTAGACTTCTGCTTCATCTTAAACATACACACCCATACAACTCTCTTCAGGGTAGAAACCTGTCAAATTGGTTGGGAGGATTGGGGAGGCGGGGCAGGGGGTAGATGGGGAAGGAGGAAAAGAGTCTGACAACTGAGACTTCTATACCTGCTGACACTGGATCATCTTGATCTGGGAATTCCAAACCCTTTTTTTAACTAAATATCACTCGAGAAAACTGGCAATGCTCTGCCCCTCGCCTTCTGTGATCTAGTTCTGAGTGGATAAGGACTTGTGACCCTAGTTTTCCCTCCAATGAGTACATGTGCTAGTTCTGATGAAAATTACTAGCAAATATAGTTCGCAGTAAGATGCAAACTCCTTAAATATGGGTGCCACTGAAACTGTTCCCCTAAAAACAGACTATTACAGAATCATAGAATAACTATGGAGGGAAGGGATCTCCAAAGATCATCTAGTCCAACTCCTGCTCAAAGCAGATCTAATTAGATCAGGTTGGTCAGGGGCACATCCAGTTGAGTACCGAACATCTTTAAGGATGGAGATTCCACAACTTCTTTGGTTATGTCAAAATCAGCAGAATTTGAGAAATATATCTATAGCAGAGCTGTAACATCACATATTTTGCTTCCAAAATAGTCAGGGATTTTGGCTCACATGTTAAGACTTTTGCAACAGGAGGTCTTAAGAAAAAAGAAAAAGAAAAAAGAAAAAAGGCTTTCTAATAATCATGTTCCACTCTTTGAATATGCAAATTTCCAATGAAGATAAAAGCAACATCCTGACTGAGAAGTGAATTCACCAGTATCTTACTGCAACTTCTTCTGAAGGTTTTCCTTTTGTTGGGAACCTGTGTTAGGAGCCTGTGTAATAAGGCTTGAACACACATTTCAACTTTAAAATCGTTTCACCAAAAGTAAATCAGGCTCAAGACAAAGAAAATACTGGGAATGAGCTGTCACTCATTCAGGCACTTAAAGAATGTTTAACTTCCTACCAAATCAGAGTTTTAAAGAGTTTAAGTTTCTAGTTTTAAACACACTGGAAAGAATTCCTGCTACAGAAGTCACTATGGTGACCTAAATGCAGACCCAAATTAACACTACCCAATTTATTAACTACAAATTATAATGAAAGATTGCAAATTATTTTAAAAAAGAAGCTGCTTAAACCAACTTAGAGGTTAAGCTACAAATAAGTATTTCAAAAAGTGGAGGCAACATATTAACTGGAAATACCACTCTATCACACATTTCTTGTTTTTTCAGAGGAGGGAAAGAAGAGAGGAGAGAGAATATGATAGGCCAATTTTCCTGCCATTTTAAGATTCCTTCATATAAATTGGTCAAATATCAATATATGAAATGTCAAAATGCTTTGCAGCTTATTTTTCAGACGTAAGAAAGCTCATCATCTTCTTAACCTTTATCCATTTGTTTAATATTAATTTCTGCTATCTGCTAAATCATCATGGCTACATTAACAATATTAGTATAACTCATTTTAGTATAGTGCTCAAGTCAAACTCCCAGATGTTAGACCTTTATAGTCATGGCATTCTATTAACAGAAATAAACATTCTTTAATTCAGATATACAAATTAAAATCTTTATTTCAAATGAGCTTTTAACAGACTGGAAGCCAAAACAAATCTTAATAGTATCTTACCAGGAAGTCTATTCATGTTGACCCCTTGAGCAGAAAGTCCTATTCCCATGTACCTTCAAGAAAACAAACAAAATATCAGTAAAGCACAGAATGGCCAAGCCACAGGACTTCCTGCAGCAGAAATACAGAAAAAAAAAAAAAAAAGTTAAGTACTTAAGGTAAGAATATAGAAGTCACTAAAGATTTTCCATTGCATTTTTATTCTTTTCTTGAATCAAAGACAAAGGCTTTTTGTTAATCTGCCCCAGTGACTGACAGCTTTCTGCTCTACAACTACAACTACTCTTTAGTTCCTAATTGGTAAGAAAAGGGAAAGGACTGAAAAACAATCAGCAATTAAATGCCTGTTTTCATATATCAGAAAAACGTAAGTGTCTACAGGTGATTAACATAAGAGTAAACAAAATGCATTAGAACAGATATCGCTCATGAGACGAAAGGTCCGTATAGCCTCGTACATTGTCGTCAGAATTTGCCAGCCAAGGATGCATAGGATGGCGCAAACATGTAATTATACTTCCCAGGAACATTCCTGCACTCTCCAAAACATATTTTACAGAATTTCCTAAGCAAAAGGTGGTCTTTTTGCATTTAATAACGCAAATAGATTTTTTCCTCCATTAATTTTACCCGTTGCTTTTTGAACCTTTGCAAACTTTTTGAACAGGCAATATCCTGCAGCAGAGAGTTCCAGTTTCATTATCATCCATTTCTTCAGTACTTGCAGTTCCTGAATTGGAAGAGATAGGAATAGCAGTTCCCTGAGCCCTCCCAAGGGCACTCAGGATTTTGAAGTCCTCATTAATGTCCCACTCCCCAGTGGTCTCTTCTCAAGGTCAAACACTCCTAATCTATTCAGTTGTTCCTCATAACGAAGCCAATCCATACTGCTGACCATTCTTGCTACACTTGCAGTCCTCTGCATCTTCTCTGAGAAGTGGGGGTAAAAAAGGAACTGCAAAACAGCGTTCACACCACTAGTACACCATGACTACAGCAAACAGTATAACAACGTTCTCCATTTTGTTCTCTATTCTTCCTCTTCTAACCTCTGGTATCCCATTTATTTTCTGGCTGTGGATGTGTGCTGATCTGATTTTTCCATGGAACTATCAATTGTAACCCAAAGATCTTGCCCCTGCACTCCTAGAGTCTGCTCAGAGACCATCCTTTGCATCAAGTTGGCATTGTTTATTCTGCTCCTACATAAATCATTTTACAGCTATCTAGCCTGAAATGCATCTTCCATTTTCATGCCCAGCCACTCACTACTGTAAGATCATTCTACAGTTCTTCACAGTTGGCCCTTGTTTTTACAAGCCTGGTTAGCTCTAGTATCATCAGCAAAAGTTATGATCTCTCTATTAATTTCACTTCCAGGTCATTTACTAATGTAGTGAACAGCAGAAGCTTAGTACACATCCCTGTGGGAATCCATTGCCTTGACTGCAAGGAGGAGATAGGGCACAACACAACACAACACAACGCCCCAGGGCTGTTAAGTTTCTCTGTTGCAAGCAAGGGTTTCCCATCTGTTAACTAATCTTTTCACCAATCATTTAACCACACAAGTACCTTCCCTTTATCCCAAGTTTCCTTAAGAATTCTTTACAATTCTTTAAGAATTGTTAAGGGTGGACCTTGTCAAATCACTTTTGCAAATCCAAGCAGACTAAATCTCACCTACATATGCGTTCAACAGGTGTAAGTCACGGCCTCTCTCTGCAAAGGCTTTTCTTCCCCACTGCACAATATATACGCACATACCCATTTTGTTTGTTCTGTTTCTATTAGCTTGCTTGGTCTGTAGTTCTCTTTATATCCTCTAGAACCAGAGAAACTGGTGCAGTGTTTAGCTTGTTTTCAACTAAATTCCACATTTTTAGGTTGCTCCTCTTTTTGAAATTGAGCAAATCTACAGTTGACTGGGGGGGCTCTCGTTCATGCAGAGATTTAAATCTATTCTACTGTTCTTTCTTTCACAACATCACCTCTCCTCCTGTGGCTTCCCTGACTACTTCCTCCATAAAACATTAATCATGTCTAAAAATGTTATTTCAGAACTGTGCCCCAAAATTACATTTCCCCGAGCTATGTGGGTTAAGACTCCCATAGCAACTGCGCTTCCTGTCTTTTCGACCCTCTGACTTCCCTCTGTGTCTCAATCGTTGTCACCACTCCAATCAAGCAGGATGGAAATGGGAATAAACTTTATTTTTCCTGTTTACATAGGAATTTTAATCCATAGAGATAGATGACATATGTTTTTCAGATTTGATTCTGAAATCTCTTTCATATATAGCACCACATCTTTACAGTTACAGCCAACTTTGTCTTTCTTGTATACTTCACATCTTGGTAATACAACCTTCCTGATTTTAAATACTTGAAACATAGTTCTATAATGCTGTAAATTAAGTAAGTCCCTTCTTCAAATATATACAATTTCAAAAGCATCCCAGCTCCCATAGAATCTGAATCTCTCTTCCTCAGACTATTTCCTCAACAACATACTAAAAACGTTCCTCCCCACCTCTCTTTCTGGTACTATGGAAAGTACAAAGGGAGGGGGGAAAAAAAGTGCAACTGCTACAGCAGAGGTCCTGGTTTTCAGATTCCTATATAACAGTTCAAGTTTTGCACATGGAACCTTCTTCCTGCTCTTCCCTATGTTCTCAATACTACACGGACCACAGCCATTAGCTCATGCTCAGCACTTCTTACAATAACCAGATGCCTTGGGAGAGATGCCAGCTTTACACCTACCAGGCAACTCATGATGCTTTTCTCCCTGATGTCACAAACCCAGTTAGCTCTGCATCTCATCACTGAATTGCTCACTCTTACATGGTCTGCTGTTCTCTTTTAGCTGGCCCCTGGCTTCTAAGGGTCATCCTCAGTGCAAAATGATACATCGTTGTCTTCTGATAGGGAGAATCTATTGCTGCAATCATAGCTCTCTTCACCAGCTTAGTTCTCCTGCCACAAGATTAGGGCTGTTCAAGCGCAAAGCTTCCTGGGGTGAACTCTGACAACTGGGCTAGGCCAGCTACAACCAAGAAGGGCCAGTCCAGGTCCTTCTGCTCTCACCATGTGTTAATTAGGTAATTAGACAAGCACCAGGAAAGTGTTACTGTTTGATAAACGTAACAGTTAAGAAGACCTAGAAAAACTCCAAAAGGAGCTTTGGCAGAAGCCATTTCAAAAGCAGATTTGAACCTCCTGATGGCAAACAAGTTTATCTTAGAACCTTGCTATTCACAGCAGATAGATTTCAGGACATTTGATTGGATCTCCTGTTTCTTGCTTGGAAAGATAAAGTAACTAAGGAGGCTTGTGAGCATTTCCAAGATACTTAGGATATACATTATTGCCTAGGAAATCTTATATGCTCCACATCTGTGCTAAAAGCCTACAGCTTCTCTACAAAAAGAAGAGCTCAAGGCACTATGATTGTTGAGGCAGAACCAGAGACGCTCCAGTACAATACAGCCTGGACACAGTGCCTGCAGTAACGCAAATAAATGCCCTGAGCTTCATTTCACACTGCCCTGAGTTCTAGGACACTGGCATGAAACACCTGCTTCCCAGAGTAGTGTCCCTGAGCTTTTAGATGCGACTGTCCTCACCCCCAAGACAATCCTCATCCTTCTTAGTCAAGATGAAAGGTGCTCAAGGGCACCTCCTTCCCCACCACAGACTAACAAGCTCCATCAACACGAACAGGGATCATTTCACCTGCCAAAGGTCACCTGCCACTGTATGGGCATGTGATCCCTGAAGTAAGGATTAGAGGCTGCCAAGAGTCATCCTAAAAAGAGACATCTCAACGGTTTATGCTGCCACATGCCCTAGAGTAGACAGGCAAGATGTAACGAAAGAGTGAAGTGGGAAGGATTTATGTAAAACTAAGTCCCGCATAGCCTACAATATATCTTGAGGTAGAAAGGTCAAAAGGTAAATACCAGCATTGTTTCAAAAGACTTGTGAACTGCATAGAAACATGGCAGGACTTTTGGGCTTTCATCCCAAAAACTAAATTTGCCAAGAACTATGGGATGAAATAACTATTCTCCTCTACTGTAACCCAGTACAAATAGAAAATCTGTTCATCTGAGAAGGGATGTGATAACTTCTAGCACCTTTGTACCAGAGTCCAAATGGTTTGGTCTTTGGTCTATGAAGTCCAGACGTTTCCTTTGAAATGCATCTGAACTGAGATGTGAAAGACAGCACCATGGCAATTAATAGCTAACACAATGGCATCTAGTCACTATTCTGATCTTACATATGAACAAGTATTCAGCTTTTTTATGAGTTGAGATCACTTGCCAGCCTCCAATATTCTGTTATGATAGAAAACATGAGCTGCAAAACACTCCTACCCAAGGTGAAAGTAGGACCCTCCAGCACCAACAACTATCATGAGGAAGACGAGAAGAACTTGGAGCAATGTAGGTAGATTACCACTTCTGAAGCCCAGACATGTTTTGATAAGGTCCTTCACCATAAGGTCTTAAAGAAATTTTCTTGGGATAAAAAGAAAGGTTAGTAACTGGTTAAACAGTAAAAGATGAATGGTAAGAAAAACGTTTGTCGCAACACAGATATGAGGCAAAGACATCATATTACAGGCTCAGAGCAAATACCTGTGACTCAGGTAAGCCAACAAGAAAAAAAAAAAAAAAAAAAAGAGACCAGCATGATTAAACAATATGACAAAAGAAGAAGTACCCAACCAAACCTTTTTCAGTTGTATTAGTAAGAATGCAGCCAGCAGGTCAAAGAAAGAGATTATTACATTATGCCCCCTATTTAGCACTTGTGAGTCTATACCTGGAGTACTGTGTCCAGTTTTGGGCTCTGCAGTACAAAAAAGACAGTGACAAACTGGAGTGAGCCCAGCAGAGGCCAAGACAGTCAGGGAGCTTAAGCCATGATATATGAGGACAGGCTGAGGGAAATTGGCTTGTTCAGTCTTAAGAACAAAAGGCAAAGGGTGGATCCTATTGCTGTCTACAAGTCCTTAACGGAAGGGTACAGGGAAGATGGA